AATGAATCCATGACCTTTCATATGCTATCATGACATTCATTTTAAACAGAAGCAAATGAGACTCAGAGGGATGAGGTGAACTCAGTCCATACTACCTATCTGCACAGAGCTGAAGGGGATCTAGTCTCTGGGTGCTAGTCCACTGATCTTTTTAAGACCCTACAGTGCTTCTCCAATCTGGCCATCCTCTATTATAACCCCAGATCTATATTCATATATTATTTTCTATTTTTGTGTTTTTAATATTTGTTTCCATGCCCTAAGTCTCAGTTTGAATAAACTCTAACTAAAGAAAACTTTATCCTCACCAAGCTTAAATTGTTACTCGTAATTTGGAAAAGAATTGTGCACACAAATTGCTTCCACTTCATTTTCTCCTTCTACCTACCTCTCATCCTCTTACAACCTATACTCCTTGGCCAGATTTTTTTTTATACATAATTTTTTTTGTTGATGACCAAAGTGTACTAGCCCATCTATTCTGTGACTTCTTGTGGCCCGCTTCTTTCTCCACCTCCCTGTGCCTTCTTATATCTTGTATTTTTATTATAATTTTCACCCCTCCTAGTGCCCTGAAGATTTTTTCTTGTGACTCCATCTTCTCCTCTTCCACTCTATAAGGCTGTGTGAAGTCTGCTTTTTACTTGACTTGTCTGAAATGTTCCCTGATCTCAGGAGTTCAAGAGTGTATCCTAGTACTAAATCCAGACAGGGTTCAGAAAAGTCTCCAGTTCACTTCCTACTGAGACTTCTTTTCCTGCCTCAGCTACTCACCTAACATCAGTGAACAACCTTGGTCTCCTCCCTGGAGTCACTGTTCGGGAACATCTCCTCCCTCCTTCCCTTTTTCAGGCCCTTCCTTCCCGCCTCCTTTCTTCTCTTCCTAACCACTTCTAATTAGTTGCTACTTGATGCGGATTCTCAACCACATTGTGTTTCCCATCTTATTCTCATTCTCTTTTCTTTCTATACTATTGTCGACTCCTTGATCCAGACATCAGACACTTCCCTCTCTTCTGTGGATAAAAGATTGAGAATAATTTCGAACTCTCAATATCAGGAGGAAGATGTGCAGTGAGATAAAAAACTATTCAGTGAATTGCACCATTGGCCCTGTTGTTCAGAGAAAAGCATTCTCAAATAATGGGAAACTGTACTAGTGATAGCTAGAAACCAAGAAAACCCGAAAAGATAGTATCACACTTTTATCAAGAGTGTGAGTTCAAAGGGACAAACCAAAACATGTCATGTAGGATTGCCTCCCTAATATGAGATGCTAAGTTTTTAAGTTGCATTTTCTTTGCACTCACTATATGTAAACCACCCTTCTAAGCACTTTGCACATACT